CAGAGATCAAAATGTATCACTCTTCATTTCCAAAGCAATTGCATTTATCTATGGACAAAGAAATAGAAGTCAGAGTTCTTTTAACTTAAGAAAAAAAATAAAGGGATAAAACCATTCAAATACTATACAGGCTGGCTCTTGTGGCATTGAGTTCTCTGTTGTTGCAACCTATGAATACTGAACTCCTCAGAGCCCTCATTTACTGGAGCAGCCCCTGCAAAAATTCATGCCAGAGAGAGGAGGGAAGGTTGGCAGCCAGAGGGGTAGATGCCAAATGGTCCTTCACTGGCAGTGGCATCTGGATGGGAGGTTGGCCTGCCTCCGGGACCACTGGCCAACAGTACTGTTGTCTATACAGATGACTGTGTATCTGTTCAGGAGTCCACAACTTTGTGTGTGTGTGTATGTGTGTTTTGGTAAGCTATTATTTCTGGGCCAAAGATTTTCATGGTATGTTTGCATCTGTTGGTACCAGTTCTACATTTGGCTTCCCTCCTTCCCACCCACTGCTCCTTCCTAGTTTTCAGATCCAAAACATTGCATATAAACGGAAAGGTATTAAAGGATGAAAATATCTTCCCAAAGATTTTTTCAATCCAACAGAGCTTATACAGGTGTGTCATCAACATTATTTTAGAAGACCGTCTTCCCTTCCATGAGCCATAAATAATGTGAAAATTCCAATATTAGTGCAAAAGTTTTCTTGATCCTTTAGTGGGAACTTAATTGTAGAACTATCAGAAATCACTGTAATTGTCAGAAATAGAATGAAACATTAAGAAAGTCAAGTTACTTGTCAAAGGTCTTCAGAGAAACAAAATTATTTTATAACTTTATAGAATACATTTACTGAAAAAGGACAGCAGAAGCTACCACACGCCCAGTCAACTGGATGTCCACATTCTACTTCACTGTGAAAGGCTATATCGTGTTGACTGTTTAAGGTTCTGCTATGATAAAAGTCACTTGTTGGAGGATATTCCCACATTACTTCAATTTTAACTGACACCTACTGGATCCTTTATACAAAATCCTGGGGTCTACAAAGTGAATAAGATATCTCCTTCAAAGAGTTTGGAATCTTTTTTTTTCTTTTTTCTATCAAGGAAATTAAGAAGAGTGCTGTAAACAAGTAATGAGAATGCCAAGAATATGAAATAAAAGCCAAATAAAGGTGCAAATTACCATACAGCATATGCCAGAAATATGTCAACAAAGAAATGAATGCCACTTTTATGCATATCTTGTACATACACACAGCCAGTTGATAGGACATGTGGCAACTTCTGCTGTCCTATTTCAGTAAATGTATTCTATAAAGTTATAAAATAATTTTGTTTCTCTGAACAAATGAGTAACTTGACTTCCTTAATGTTTCATTCTATTTCTGATAATTACAATGACTTCTGATAGTTCTACAATTAAGTTCCAACTAAAAGATCAAGAAAACTTTTGCATTAGTATTAGAATTTCCACATTATTTATATACTGGGCTCAGTTTTCAAGGCAGAAAAGCTCAGGGAGATTTTGGAGGTGTAATCTAAAATCTCTCTTCCATAGTTAATTGATGAGAACACAAATTTGCTCATGGTCACACAGTAATGAGAACACAGGTCTAATTTTCTGTCAGTGTTAGTCTCTATGAGTTTAGAGGTGTGACATATTTAAAATGAAATGTGCAGAGAAATCTTTTTCAATGTCATAGAATAATTTTATATTATATGAACATCAAATAAAGATTAGAGTCACTGTGTCACGTAAATGAGGAGTAGAATGAAATTCCCACAATTGCAAAAAATTCTGATGGCTTAGAGTGGCTTGTGTCTAGATATCCTCCCAAAGCCTCACGCAGTCATAGGAGGGCTTTCCAGAGGTGGCTGAATTGAGGGTGTGACTGATTTTTGTTGCAGTGCTAGGATTAAGGGTGCTAGGATTACGGATGGATGATTACTAAATCAGTCTACTGATTGTTTTGACACCTCCATAATACCGATAGCCTAGTGTCTTGGTTACTTTTTTTCTCGCTGCTGGGACAAAATACCTGACGCCCAAAATTAAGGAAGGAAAGGTTTATTTCGCTTACAGTTCATGGAAGTTTTAATCTGTACTTGGTGATTATAAGGCAGAGTGGCACGTGGCAGAGGGCTGCATCTCAGGGCGGCAGCACAGCAAAGCCGCCACCACACACACACCACTGTAGAATCTAGGAGGAATGGCCCAAGCACTTCTTCCTCTCCCTTACATATGCAAACTATCCACCCCAGGGCAGGTGTAGCTCTCACACCCATATTCAAACTCTAATAGCCTGCCCCAGGGCTGCAGGAGGCTTTGGGGGGACACACAGACAAAAACCATAACACCTAGATACAATATAAGGGACAGAAAAGGCTTGTCTTGTCCCTTGCTGGCTTTGCTACCTTCTGCCTGTCATGAGCTGTTCCAATTCTGTGGTGCCTGTGAGCCACACCACCCTGCCTTGGAGCCAGCTGATTATGGACCGAAACCTCTACAGACTGTAAGCTCTACAAACCTTTCCCCCTTTAACTTTGGGTGTCGGGTATTTTGTCTCAGCAATGTGAAAAGTAACTAAGACAAGTGCTGTGACAGGACTCCCAAAAATGTTATTCAGAATCAACCTATAGATGTTTCAGTCAGTTTTGCAAAGAGTATCTGCTGCTACTTTCCTTTCTTTCGCTATGGCCCATAAAACGTCTCCATATGTCCAGAAGCTTCTATGACCAAAGTGTCACCTCCATCCTTTGTGTGACCACTGTCATCAGAAGTGACTCCCTCTCAGGTTCACCACTGAAGTGTCACCGTCAGTAACTTGTGATCTGCTGGAAAGACTGAGGACTGCACAGTCTGCAGTGAGGTATTATAAATATTCAAATAGTCGCTTCAAGTTGATGTTGTACATTCTAAAGACGGTGTTGTCTTATTGGGCACTATAGAGAAAAACCTCTTCAGTTTGGTAGAGAATAAAATAAGATTTGTTTTATAAATTAAGCTAGCTGTTAAATATATGGTGGACAGGAGGCACATTGAATTTGACAATCAAAACCTCAGATCAATTCAAAGAACCCCAAGGAGCAAGACGTTGTGGTGCACATCTGTAACCTCAGCACTCTGGGAGGCTGAAGCAGGAGTGTCACAAGTTCAAGCCAGCCTGTGCAACTTAGCAAGATCTGGTCTCAAAATAAAAATAAGAAGGACTGAGGATGCAAAGAGTCCCTAGACCAGGAAAACTTTTCTATAATTTAAATGAATTAACAGATCTAGTCTGTACATGAAAAGGTTGAGGTGGGAGGATGACTGGAGTCATGAGTTTGAGATCAACCTGGAGACTCCCTCTCAAAGATGAGGGGAGAAAAAGGGAAGGAAATAGAAGGAGGAAGGGGTAGAGGAGAAAGAAGGGAAGAGGAAGAGAAGAGGAGAATGAGGAGGAGGGGAAGGAGAAGAAGAGAAAAGGAGAGAAAGGAAGGAAGGAAGGAAGGGGAACTAGCAGATCTGAAAGAAAAACACAGAAAACTGGTAGTCAAGGAGGTGTGCATGAGCTGTGTCCATTTTATGATCATCCTCAAAAAGAGTGGCCTGGCTGCAAGGATTGACCTGCTTTTCTTTACGTTTTGTGTTTTCTGATGTTTCAACCTCTGGGCCTTGCTGGCACGGGTGAGTCCTTCTCACCAAGGCTAATTTGAGGGGCTGGGGATTTAGCTCAGCGGCAAAAGCGCCTGCCTGGCAAGCGCAAGGTCGTGGGTTCGGTTCCCGGTACCGGAGAAAAACCAAAAAAATAAAAAATAAAACTATATTGAAAAAAATGTTGTTTCTATGTCAGTAAGTCAGGAATTGCAACCCCAAATCTTAAGAGATCTAAAAGATCAAGTGTTTGACCAGAGTAGAGAAAC